TCGTCTGCAAATTTCCACAAATCAGAGGAGTTACTAGGTATCGCTAAATCATTTATCATCGCTAAATCATTTATCATCGCTAAAAATAGCCAAGGACCAATCTTAGTACCTTGCGGAATTCCAGCTGGAACTATTTCGGAATTTGAAAAGCAATCCGAATTAAGTTTTAGACGCTGTGATCTGCCACGTAGAAAGTCAGCAATCCAATTTACAACTGTCGGTTTGACTCCAAGGCTAAAAAGTTTGGCAATTAAAATATTGTGGTCCATTAAGTCAAATGCTTTTCTGTAATCCAGAAGTGCAACCCTGACGCGCGGAACCAGTGCCATTCGTGTTTTCCAACCAGCGATGTAACATCGAAATTAAAGCAAAAGTAGTACATGAATTGGGCACAAAACCAAATTGATTTGGATCCATTGCTTTCAGCAGCGTAGGTCTTATTTCCTGCTCGATGATGCATGACTCAGCAATCTTGGATAAAGTTGGTGTTAATGAGATTGGTCTTAGATCTTTATTAAAGTCTTCAATGGCAACTGTTTTTGGTAAAGATATAACATTAATTGGCCAATTTCCACACACGAGGTACTTTTGATTCCCGAAAGGATGCATTATTTATGTTTGTGATGGCTGGGGATAATATATCGTATAATTGTCCATTACACTAAGAAAGGCTTTCATAATTTCATTAGCCAGATCTTGATCACTACTCTCTGTATTTGTTTTTAATACAGATCTAGCTTTACTTTCAAAGCTCATAAATCGCTATAATGTTGCTGTTGACTAAAACAATTGCTACGAATGAGGAGATATTGTAATGTTACACTTAATCGAATGGTGGTATTTTTGTCCTCATAGCATTCAATGAACCGACGATATGGAATGTCAAAGTCGCATTGTATGAGTGCATTGCGATAATAGGGTATTGTCGAGAAAGAGTTTTAAAGAGCACTGCCAATCGTGATTTACTCTAATCTCACTTTCATTGGAAAGTAAATAGTAATCATATACTGTAGTTGAGACAACTGAAATATAACAACGGTAACTCCGAAAAAAGACAACATTTTTATTCAATGTTTCGACTTTATTTAGTCATATTTAGGAATATAACCATCATCATCATCATCATCATCATCATCATCATCATCATCATGATTAAATAAAGTCGAAACGTTGAATAAAAAATGTTGTCTTTTTTCGGAGTTATCGTTGTTGGTTATTCCATGAAAATGCTTAGTGGTTCCCGCAATTATTGGAGGCAACTGATGTACAATAGGCAATGGCTATTTCTCTGAGTTTGACAACAACGTATATGATATGTTGTGGGATTTTGGAGATACAACTCCCTAAAAATTACAAACAGAATTTCGCCTTTTCGAGAGAAGACCAAAACATCATTAACTTCCGACGAAGGACCTTCGCTCGAAACATTTTTATTCAATGTTTCGACTTTATTTAGTCATCTTTAGGAATATAATCATCATCATCATCATCATCATCATCATCATCATCATCATTAAATAAAGTCGAAACGTTGAATAAAAAATGTTGTCTTTTTTCGGAGTTATCGTTGTTGGTTATTCCATGAAAATGCTCAGTGGTTCCCGCAATTATTGGAGGCAACTGATGTACAATAGGCAATGGCTATTTCTTTGAGTTTGACAACAACGTATATGATATGTTGTGGGATTTTGGAGATACAACTCCCTAAAAATTACAAACAGAATTTCGCCTTTTCGAGAGAAGACCAAAACATCATTAACTTCCGACGAAGGACCTTCGCTCGAAACATTTTTATTCAATGTTTCGACTTTATTTAGTCATCTTTAGGAATATAATCATCATCATCATCATCATCATCATCATCATCATCATCATTAAATAAAGTCGAAACGTTGAATAAAAAATGTTGTCTTTTTTCGGAGTTATCGTTGTTGGTTATTCCATGAAAATGCTCAGTGGTTCCCGCAATTATTGGAGGCAACTGATGTACAATAGGCAATGGCTATTTCTTTGAGTTTGACAACAACGTATATGATATGTTGTGGGATTTTGGAGATACAACTCCCTAAAAATTACAAACAGAATTTCGCCTTTTCGAGAGAAGACCAAAACATCATTAACTTCCGACGAAGGACCTTCGCTCGAAACATCGAAGTTCTGGGTTTTTTTTCTTTTCAGGTACTTGTAGTATCTCCTACATACAGCTGCTGTTTGGTATCGTCGTTACCTAGACTGGGACAGACCGTGTTTAATATGTTGGCAAATTATACACAAAAGCAACATCGCGGTCAAACGTCCGAGCGTATATTTACTTCTTGTATCCAAAAAAACTGGAAATATAATAATAATAATAATATTAATAATAATAAAAGTCTTTATTTCAATACTCACTAGCAAACATCTGAGTTTACATATTAAGAATACTATAGATTGTTACTGTTATTTACATCAATTTTTAGTACTTTAAAAATTCTAAGGTATAAGAATATAGATATATAGTTTATATAAAATTGAAAAGACATCTATTTATAAACGCGTTTTGAACCTCTCAGTTTTAACAGTTGGTAGTTCAACATTATTGCACATGTCGTACGTAGCCTCACAAAGCTCTAACAAGAAGTTGAAAGAAAATTACGAGTGTTTAGACTCGTATAACTTCTACATACTTTATAGCTTCAGACGTTTCCTCGGCGCGGACCATTAGAAAAGTGATGGGGGGGGGGGGGGGCAAAAATAAAAATCGATCTGGAAAAACAGGACGGAAAAAAATTCGTGCACCAAAAATGTTTGGAAAAAAGGGATTATATTTAAAACAATTAATTATTGACACAAGCAAAAAATTTTGAAAAAGTATTCGTACAAGTTGAAAAAGTCCCCAGGCCCCCCCCCGCCCTCATCACTTTTCTATTTGTCCATCCCTTTAGTAAACACTTTTCCTGTATTTACTTCGATTATTTTGGCAGACATTTCCCCGCATTTCCATATTACGTTTGAACGCGGTGATAAATTCTTGATAATAGCAAAATTAAATATTGGAGATACAATACTGAGCCATTTTAAGACAATAGAAGTAATTTATCTTTACATTATCAATTTTTCTCAGTTACCGCAAAAGTCACAAAATGGTGTCCGTAGAACTTTTCCTGGCAACATTTTCACTTATTTACACACAAAATTATGGTACGACGAAGTGTCCTTTCTTGAAATAACGACAGTGACAAGATCGGCAGTGAAAATGAGAGTTTCATTCAAAAAAATAGGCGAATAGGCTTTAAGTTAATAATAACGTCGTTCTTGTTACAGGCTTCATTTCTAGGACAATTGCAATAGGTATTTTTGCTACAAAACTACTTTAATAATTAAGGCTGAATTCCTTGCGGACAAGAAAGGTTCACAAAATTTCCAACGAACGACTATAATGGAATTATAATTAACATACCTTCAGAATTTCGGCGAGGGGGCACAATGATTTTTGTTCCAGATTTCGTTTCAATTTTCTCTATATTCTTACGTCCTTTACCGACCACAAAATTTATATATTCTTTCGGCACATCAATCATTCTTACATCATTATTTGCCTTTCGTTGCAATGAAAATGAAGCAAAGTAACATTTAGCTAAGTTTCTTTTATATTGCACTGAAAGAATAATTTAACAGAAACTATAAAATAAAAATACGTGCAAAACATAATTATAAATATAATATGCAAAAGGATAACATAGAAACTATTTTAAATTAACCGTTCAACAACATTTCCAGTAAAGTTTGGCTTATTTTGAATGGAATTACGGAGAAATTTGGACAACAAGGATTGTGCTCATACTCAATCTCTTTCAACCTTAAATGTCAGCTGAAAGCTACGATTCTTTGGATACTAATCATTTCAGACATGTCAACACTACTTATACAGAAATGAGTCAGATTAGATACATTATTGGTCAAACCGTTACGTGTATTTAAGTCAGTGAAAAAATTTAGAATTTAGAGATAAGTTCTCTTTGTTTTATTATTATCATAATGATCTCATCTTCAGTATCAAGTATAATGATTGTGATAATAAAAAGTTACGTGTCTGGATTTATACGTAATGCGTTTAAGATTGCGATTAAAAGCACTGCGAACGTGCTTTCGGAATAACTTTCGAAAATTTCAACCATCATGATGACACTTTGAAAGTCATAGTACCCTCGTTCTGGTCTTCACGCGCTGAAACATTTACTGTATATCTAGAATAATTTACCGTTCATTAACGAGCAGGAGTACTTTCGTTTGTAGTATTATCAAAAAGTTCGTTTCAAAATATATCGGTCAAAATAATCGTTCCTTGTTCCTTGTTCCGGTACATGCAAAGCAGGATCTTGTTAATAATCCCAGAATAGACAAGGATGGGATGGTGACGGGATTAGATACACCTGTAGTGCACATATAGCATCAGTAAACAGGAACGGTTCTTCCTTTATTCATCATGATTATAATATTACCTTTGAATATGTTTGAAATCCTGACGTCATTGGTGAAACAGGTTTTCTGCAAACCTCATCATTTTCCCACTTTTTCTAAATTAAAACGATTCAAACAGCGGTTAATAACTAGAGCATCCTTACTCTCGTCGGATCTTTTATTTCTTTCTTAATAGTCATTACACTTTATAATAATAACGCCGATGTTAAAATTTCCAGGTCAAACGAAAAACTATATCGGCTAAGTGAATTAGTATAGGTAATCATGCGATGGCCAGTAATGCTTGGAAATTTTGCCAAAATTGGACGAGCTGCCGAGGCTTTTTTATTAGCATGACAAAATTGGATAATTCTCAATGTCAACATCATATTTTCTCGCCAAGGCCCAATCCTGCAAAACGTTCAACCAAAATTTGGCGCTTTGTTCGTATATTCATTTAGTTATTTTGCTTTAAGTTCCTCTAGGCCAATTTCATTTCTGTTTAAATACCTTTCTGTCATTTTGTTTGTTTTTGGAAAATCGTTAATTGTACTGCAGTACAATTAAAAAAATAATTGTACTCCTCCAACCAATCAGCATCCTGTAATTTTGTCATGCTAATAATACATATGGTAACATTTCTGAATTATTCAATACTATTTGGACTCATTTTTACCAGAGGGTCTGTTCACTTAGTGTGCATTGGTCATTGCTTCGAGTGAAATTTGAAACGAATACGCAAGACCTTAGTAATTTCTTAAAACTCGACATTGTGGTACAAAGCATGCCATTACAAACCATGCTGTACTTATACATTTTGATCGAAGCTAGTAAATTCCATGCACATTTTGTATAAGTAATAGCATGGAGTAATATGTATATTATCACATAAATTATACGTTGTTCCTGTGTTATTCTCACTGTATTATTATCGCTTACAAAGACAATTTTTTGACAAACATGCCGGCTTGGACTGAACGAGCGTTTCCGCGTCCCCTATTTTGCCTTAATGCATCACTGTCCTAGTGGAATATTCTACCCATATATATTTAGGGAAAACAATGTTCTAGTCCAAGAACATACATAAACAGCAACTTATGAAACTACGCTGAGTGGGATTATATTTAATTTACTACATGTACGTATATACTTACTTGATTTGTCTTAAGCATCTCTCTTGCGCGTTCACAGTTCTGCCTCAAACCTATGATGTCAACAATCACATGTTTTTCCGTTCCACTGAATTTTGGCCAGGTAATTTTCACGCCACACTCTCTTTCAATCCCTTGGAAATTATTACTGCTATATTTTCCTATTAGCAAACGAGCAAATGACTGAGATACTGGTTCCTTTATGGTTATTTTTGCGTTATCCTGTGAAAATATTATGACATGTATTAGAGTTGTTCTATTAAAATCGTTTCTAATTTTCTGGTGTGCGTATTTCGTAATTCGATCACAATGAATATGGCAGTGTCAGAATAAAATAAATTAAATATGGAAGGCATTTTTAAATTAATGTAAATAAGGTTTCTGTTTTGGTAAAGCCAGTTATACTATTAGGATGGCGATTTATAAATAGGTGAAATTGAAGCTGTAAAACATGGCCAGACATTTTCATTCCTCAGGTTTCACGCTACCACGCGCATCCACGCAACAATGGCTGTGCAATGCCCTATATTCATTATTAGGCGAGTGGATCGAGTATTTTCAGTATAGCATGCTACATATAAATATTGGAATATTTGTTGAAATTGGTTGCAGAAGTAGCGATCGTATAGTAACACATTCAAAAAAATGTTCTCGCGATTAATTTGCATACACGCTCTGCTTTCTGCGATTGAATATAAAAACATTTTACCTGCACTTTACATGCATAGGAATCTATAAAGGTTTCTTGCTCAAACGGCTATACTCGTGATATATTCAATTATTGACATTTGTTGAAATCGTTTTATTCTGACGAATAGTATAGCATTTCCTTCCGTCGTTTATTATTTTGTTACACCCAATAAAAGGTCTGCATTCTATTTTTATAATCGGCAAGCCGGTGCGTTAAATGGGTGAAGCCATATATATTACTTCGACGTCGAAAAGTGATATTCCAATAATAATCATACTTACTACACAAAATCTTATAGCCTGTCGTGCTGCTTCACAACCAGCTGCAGAGCCAGTGACTGTAAACCCAGATTCTCTTCCGAAGTCATCTCCATTACAAGAATCAATCCTTGCATCTGTTTCTCGCTTAATTTGATTTATATTTCTTCCCCTAGCTCCGATAACAATGCCCATGTACTCCTGTGGTACAGGAACAAAGATTTCCACAAATCGTGACATTTTATATTGCAATAGGACGAGTATTCTATAGAATAAACAGAAAAAAATGCTTTTGGAATTTGAAAAGAATGTAACTATACAACCGGCGCGGTGAAATACTGTATCATCGCTCAAACGGGTGACCCTAGTTGTTGTTGTGATAACTTGCTTCCTTATGTGCGCTGTTGAACAAACTGCTTCAGCCTAGAAACTCTTGGATACTCCTGCATGTAAGAACATCGATAAAGCAGCTTGCTGGAGCGTCCTGTTCATCCGTTCGGCGATACCATTCTGTTGTGGTGAGTGGGTACTTACCATTCTGTTGTGGTGAGTTGCCTCATGATGAATACCTTTCTCTTTGAGGAAATTTTGAAATTTAGCAGACATATATTCATTATTCACCTCCATTGTCTGTTCGCAAAGTTTAAATTTTGCAATCCGCTTGCTTTGTTACTACACTTTCCATTCTTTAAACTTATCCAACACTTTCGATTTGTGTGTATTGGGATAGACGGTTACACATCTGTAATAGTCGTCATTGAATGTCACGAAGTACCTGGCACCACAAAAACTTTCGGTTTTCATTGGTCCAGCGACATCACTGTGAAAAATTTGTAATCTTTTCTTTGATTGTACTTCTCCCACTGATTTGAATGCTGCTCGATGCAGTTTTTCTTCGGCATAGGCTTCACCGAGAAGTCCAGCTTCCCAGTTCTAGGCCTGTCGGTATCTGTTATCATCTCTCTTGAAACGATAGTCTTCATTTGGCCTGCGTTCAAATGAGCCATCCTTTGACGCCACATATTTAGCTTGTCATTTGATCTTTCTGCAACTGACCTCCTCTGCAGTCCAGACAATGCATGTTGCCAACAAGACGGCCTTTCACTACACCTTTTCCTTGAGAGTCCTTGATCGAGCATAGTGTATGTATAAATTGCACCACTTTTCCTTTCATGGCTGCCGCACGATCACTAAACAAATTTGCGGCTAACATGGGAACATACAGAACTTTAGTCATAGTTGATTTTCGTTTGTCTTTCTCTTTAGGACCAAGCAGTATGGTAATGCATATTTCACCAGTCCCCAGAGCATGCACAGATCGACCATCCCCGAAAACAACTGGTTCTGGCTCCCAAAACTCTTGATAGTTCATCAATAGATCACGACTTGAAGTCATGTGTTGAGATGCGCCTGAGTCCATAATCCAGTCATTACCTACCTTTCCTATAACACTTAGTCCATCAGCGCATAAACCTTAGGACCAGAATCATCATTCTTATCAGTGTCCCCATGAGCAGGAGCTACATTATGCTTTAATGATTTTTCAAATTTCCCTTGATTTTCATTTCGTCGATACTGTTTTTTTCTTTTGCTCCTCTCCACAACCATAACACTTAATATGCTTTCGATCTAACATGTTATGTTGCAATGCAGCTTGGCAATCCTCAGCTGTGCCACCACTTTACTTTGCTTGCGTTTTTCGTCCTCGTTTAACAATGCTTGATGCAGTTGACTCATGTTTAGTTCATCTCATTTGGCAATCAGTGCGGTTACCAAGGTGTTATATGAACGTGACTGGCTTAATAGTAATGCGACTATAAACTAATCCTCTGGAATTGGTGCTTTATCGCGGCCAATTGATCAGTAATCACTATCATCCTTCGAAAGTGTTCATCAAGAGAATCTGATTCTTTCATTATAGGGAGAAAAATGTTTGCTTCACAAATAATTTGTTTGCAATCGTATTTCTTTTGGAGTTTGGCATTCGGTTATAAGGTAAATAAGATGCTATTTAATAGACGTAACTATGAGAATTTTTGTTTTCGTTTGATTTTTTTCGAACGATGCAGTTGCCCCAGAACTGCTGTGTTTTTACCGAGAAAGTTCAATGTTTGTGATGATCATGAATGATCATTTGATGGTTTCAAAGCTTGAATCTGGTTGAACGTGATTGGCTGATCAGATCAAAACCTGTCAAGTGCTCTTGACAAACATCGAATATTCTCACGCGAATAGGCAATGTTTTTATGAGCGACCGTTTAGTACTGACTCAGTCGTGAAAGTTTTGGCGGGAATTGCACTCAGTCGTGAGCGTTTTGGTGGGAATTGCGGATAATAGATCGGTCAAAGAAATAATCATATCCTGGAGCTAAGGTTGGTATAAATTACTAATATTTGTTTATTGTTTTGAATAAACAGATGAAAAGCGTTCAATCTTTGGAACACGCTCAGCCATGTGGTGCCACTAGCTTGAATTTGGTTGAACGTGATTGGCTGCTCAGATCAAAACCTCTCAAGTGCTCTTGACAAACATCGAAGATTCTCACGCGAATAGGCAATGTTTTTATGAGCGACCGTTCAGTACAGACTCAGTCGTGAAAGTTTTGGCGGGAATTGCACTCAGTCGTGAGAGTTTTGGCGGAAATTGCGGATAATAGATCGGTCAAAGGAATAATCATATCTTGGAGCTAAGGTTGGTATAATGGATAACTCACTCTTCGATTTCGAAGATGTCCTTTTCCGTCGCAGATTTGGTCACCGTCTATGAATTCTCCCATGGGCCACCAAACTCGCTCGGCTCGCACAGGGCTGTCGACACATATCACATGTGAATTCTGTTGCAATAGCTTGATCTGGCCATTTACGCCGGAGTCGGGCTTGTCGTATTCTCTCTGTCCGGCCTGCTTCAAATGAATGAACACCAGTTCGCCATGAAGCTCTATCTTCTGCACGTGTTTCGCAAGATTGCAGGGGAACATTGCACGATTTTAGCACATATATGAGGCTATCCTTATACCTTTTATGCGGTCTTCCCACCATTCGGTTTCCTTGTTGTAACTCCCCCCACAACAATATTTTAGGTAATCGTTCTTCATCCATTCTCACAACGTTACCAGCCCACTGAGGGTGCCTTTTTTTCAGAAAGCTTTGGAAGCTACAACATTTTGCCCGATCTAGCACTTTGCTGTGTGGCGTCTTTTCTTCCCATTTTACCAGCATAATGCTACGGAGGAATCGTTGTTGGAAAGCTTCTAATTTTTTTATGCGATTGGCATACAGGGTCCATGTTTCCCCTCCATACAGGAACGTTGATATAACAACTGCTTTGAACAGGGCTATTTTTGTTTCTAGTTTGAAATCATGACTATTTCATACACGATCTTTGAGTCTTCCAAAAGAGGAGCTGGCTTTTGCTATGCTTCTTTCGATTTCATGGTCTAATTGCGCATCATTGGATATTGTGCTACCAAGATACGGAAATGTTTCAGTTGTTTTCAGTTTTTGACCGTTCACAATGATCGATGGTTTATCTAGAAGCAATCTTGGTGGTGGTTGGCATAGTATTTCTGTCTTTTTTATGCTGATTGTCAAGTCAAAGCGTCTAGACGCATTTGCGAAACTGGCCATCAACGATTGAAAAATCAGACAAAAAAATTCCTGCGCAGAGGTTTGATTATAGTGGTGCAGAGTTGCGCACGTTCTGCCACACTCTCTCGGCATCAGTTCCCTATATCCAGTGGCATGTTAACACGACGACTAGAGGAAACATCTGCTACAGTGGTTGACCATACGTAGCTAAACGATTTTATACGCACGTCCTAAATAGCGGTACCACGATCCACTGTCCCCTGTCCCCGCTCAACGTTTAGCCTGCCAGCCGAGCTAGGCAGTTTACCGGGGTGTGGCCGCCGCATTGTACGAGTTGAGTGTATGTGGAGACCAGAAGTTCACGAGCCATCCGTGGATGAGATTTGTTTATTTGTTTATTGTTTTGAATAAACAGATGAACAGCGTTCAATCTTAGGAACACGCTCAGCCATGTGGGACTTTGTGCCACCATTGTCGAGGAAACTCATGCGTATATCAAATGTGGCCGTTTCATATTAATGTAAATAGCTGTATAGAAATAGCTCTTGCAGCAGATACAATTTAATGTTTAAAATTATAATTGATTTGTTTATTTTGTGTTCGTGGCAAAGAGGGCGAATTAATTAAAATGTTTATAGTTTATAGATTTTATACTATAAATTTGCGAAAAATATGAAATAAATACTGTAAATCGAATATACCTTTTAAATTGTGTTATTAAACAGTGAAACTCTCGCATATCAAAACATCAAAGCCAAATTAGTGTTGTGTATATAAATTATAATACATTTCAATTCCTTAATTATTATTGTTGTCGCCCACGAGGAAGTTTCTAAGAATCGTTATTCGATTATAGTATTCGATTATTTCTCGATTATAGTATTCGATTATAGTATTCGATTATAGTATTCGATTATTTCTCGCAAATTTATTGTAACAATTTTAATACGCCCACTAAATGGTATCTGCTATAAGAGCAATATCTATACAGGCATACCACTATTTACATGAAACGGCCACATTTGATACTGTATACGCATGAGTTTCCTCGACAATAGTGACACAAAGTCCCACATAGCTGAGCGTGTTCCTAAGATTGAACGCTGTGAATCTGTTTATTCAAAACAATAAACAAATAATATTGTAGTAACTTATATCAACCTTACCTCCAGGATATGACTATTCCTTTGACCGACCTATTATCCGCAATTACCGCGAAAATTCTCACGACTGAGTGCAATTCCCGCCAAAACTTTCACGACTGAGTCAGTACTGAACGGTCGCTCATAAAAACATTGCCTATTCGCGTGAGAATCTTCGATGTTTGTCAAGAGCACTTGATATTATTATTTATTATTTTCACATCTTTTAACACAGTGTCTAATCAACCCAACTATTACTATATATATATATATATATATATATATATATATATATATATATATATATATATATATATATATATATATATATATATATATATATATATATAAGATTAGAAGACAAACTTGAATTACTTCATATGAACTTTATTTCACTACAAATTTGTTTCGTATGACAAGACGAGTCTTGCCACACTCATCAGGTGGATTTATCAGCTCTACTACGGTATTGAGCACTCTACTCATATATGATATAAAACACGACGCGTAGCGGAGTATTTTATATCCATGTGATAAAACACGACTACAAGTGCTTTATATGGCTTCAAAAACGACTCATCTTATACGAGTTCATTGGCGAAGTAATTTTTAAAATAAACTTTGTCTAAACCGAGAAAATCAAAGCTAAAGTTTATGTAAATTAACATGATTTTATATGATTTTGATTTTATATCACATATAAAACCACGACAGAC